TCCGTGGTGTACCTTACCTTATTGGGAATACCTGTACCAATGCTACCTCATTAAAAAGACATTCAAATAACCCTGACATCTTGCTGCGAAGAGAACTGGGTTGACAGCATCCCTCTGCTGATCTGATCTAGCGGGGCTTCCCTTATGTTCCCTTTCAATCGAAGCACCACCTTGTAGTTAGAGGAGTTCTTGCGGCTGCATTCAAGTCAGGAGCAGAACCAACAGCAAGAGGGAGGCAGTCCAGATGAAAGGAAATCATGCTTAAAGCTCTTATGGCTTAGCCTTAGAAGAAGACTTTTGTATTTTTCAAATGGGAGTTGGGGGGCTGCACAAAACCCAGCAAGTCACCAAATCTCAGCAGCTGGGAAGAAAGAGTAGAGCTGGGGAAGGGGCCATGGCCATCTGGGGAAACCTGTAGGGCCAGAATGAGGCCCCCTGGGGGTTGTTTTTGGCCCAAACACACCAAATGGTCTCATGGGACTCTCGCTTACAATCATTTTTGGGACATGCAACCAGACTGAGCCTTCTGACCCCTCAGATGCTCTTGTTTCCTGCAGGGACCGCCCTGGTGCTCAGGATTAGCCCAATGTATAACCATCTTTGCATCCCCTGCTGGGAACCCTCTGCAATTTGTTCTGGGATATTCAGAGCACCCCTTCTGGATTCAGTATAGTTTGTTTTTACAAAAAGAGGCCCTGATTTGCATTGGCGCGGTCTCTTTAAATCCAAACAATAACTTCCAGGGGAAAGCTTATTTATTTTGGTCAGTTTCCATGGTAACATCATTGCCAAGCAGAGAAAGTTGACAGAAGGACTTTCTAGGAAGATGAAAAACATTCAAATATGATCTGTAGGCAAATACCTTGACTATGTGTGTCCTGAGCGCTTGGGTAACATGCAAGCTTGTGTAGACCTTGGAGAAAAGGGAGGACATCTTTTCATCCTTAGCAAACCTGCATGCTCCTTGGACCTTGCCAATTACCAGAGTCTGCTGCAAAAATAACTTGTTAACCTGCTTTATTATATACTATATTTAAATAATGAAAAGTAGCTTGGCAAAGTTTTGGTTGGCCATTTTTGGAAAGGATGTATTGTGTTTACGTTGAAATGGCATCCTTTTTCTGGGTTTGTGACCTGTAAAACCCAGCATGAAAGATGACAGAAACACCAGAAGAGATCTCTGAAGGAGGCCCAGATGCTCTGCTAAGGCACTGCTTTAATAAGAAGAGCTGATCGCACAGAGACCGTTTCAGAAGTTCCCGCTGATGTTCCTGCCGCGTCTCACAGAAGACTTGTTCTATGCAGGTCTCCAGAAACTCACCCAAACCGCTGTAAATGGTCATATGTGCCCACATGTGCTTTGCACCATGCACATATCCTTGAGAGCTAGAATTTTTAAGCGTTTTCGAGACCTGGCAGACACGAGGGATCATTACTCGTAACAATCTGCAGGAGAAGTGGGGCATTCTGGGATGCTCTGTCCTTATGGGTATCTGTCACTCCGCATCCCAGCAAACGGCATGCAAGCCTCTCACCCTAAATCGTTCCCTCAGCCCCCAGGCATGTGCCATCATCCTTGCCTTGCTTCACATCATCCCAGCAGCCTGCTCCTCCTCTGTCTCGCTCCAGGTCCACCCACGCCCTGTTTCGATGGGTGCGCTTTCAAGCAGGCCGCAACAAACCCGTGCTTGGCTGCATGTTGGTTTGGCCAAGGGCGACACCGGGGCATCTCCTGTGGCTGCGAAATCCTGAAGCAGCGTGACCAAACTGAAAAGAGGTGCATCTCTGGCCATTTTCTGGCAACTTCCTCCTGGCACGTGCTTTATGAATACCAGCACGCTAAAACTGGTGCAAACTGTGGTTTATTTGTTTCTTTTTGCAGCAGGATTCCCAGGAGACGGTGGAGTCCTGCGCTGGGAAGGCGATCAGACTCAATGGGCCCTTCCAGCTCCATTGCACTGTGATTCTGGGATGTCCCCACAGTGCTGCAGATGCTGCAGATGAAGTGGGCACACAACTGCACACACGGGGAGCTCTTTCCTAACATGCAAAGCACTGTCCTTTCTGTACACCAAAGAGCTCTTCTGGGTACTGTGCTTTGGAGGACAGGATATTTGTGTGCTGAAGGGTCCACTTAGAGAAACTCTCACTTTGCACTGAGGCCAGTGGCCTGGAGAAGAAAGCAGAGCAGATGGAAGGGTTTGCCAAGAGCCTGCTTTGTGATCCTAATTGTTTTGGTATGTTTGATGCAAAGGCAGCCTTAGTGAGAGCCCTGGCATGCACGTGCCACCCCCTTCCCCCAGTCCGAGATGTGATCAGCAGATCTGGTCAGGCAACAAGCCTGCAGGGCACAGCAGCTTCCTGTGCAGCACAGAGGAAAGGATGGGGTCTGCTGGGAATGGAAACCAGGCAACTGCTGCCTGGTTCATGCCAACTGCAGCATTCCTTCTGATGCAAAGAACAGCCATGGTGGCCTGGATGTGGTTCAGGGCTGCAGAGGCTGCAGGGAGGTCTTCCCATAGTCCCCCTGCTACCAGGGTCCTGATCTGGATACGGCCTCCAGCATCGGCTGCTTAATTGAAAACAAAAAATCTTCATGTGAGTCATGTCACATCATGTTTGGCCCTGTGCAGTCTCTGGAGTCAGAGCTGGAATCTGCTGGATTCATCCAATAGGCATCCCTTTGGTAGAATATGCCAGGATCCAATCACACACATGGACCATTTGGAACCAAGGGAGTAGAGAAGGATTGGGGGAATTTGTTCAGCTTCCTCCCAGCTAAAGACAGAGCAAGGTTCTATTTTCCTTGACAAAATGTTCATGATCAGTACTAATCTTTCTTCAGTCCTCAGGGACAAGTTCATATTTTAGTGCACTCCCTTTGACATAAAGGAGTTTCCATGCTGAGGATCTTGGCAACCCTCTTCTACAACTGTAGACAATGGTAAGACATGACAAGTCATCCTTGTCCAGCAAGGAGGCCCTGATACCAACAGAACCCCATTCAGTGCAGCACTGAGCTCAACTCACTTCACGTGTAGCTGAGACTCAGCCTGTGACTGAGACTACGGAAGCCAGTGCTGGATGAAGCTGGTGTCTCGGTGTTAGGCTACTATGGATACATGGATAGAACATGAATCATCTGAAGGATATCGCCATTTAATGGTCCCCATCACCAATAAGATAGGGAAGTCCTCGTCTTCTCTACACAAAGCAACATTTCATATTCCAAACTGGTCCGGCATTAGAATAGAATAGAAGTAGAGTTGGAAGGGGCCTCTAAGGCTATCAAGTCCAGCCCTTGCTCTGATTCCACATGTGGTCACCCATCCAACTTCAGGTCTGCATCTTTCCAGCTTAGCACGGGTGATGCTAGCCTGATGCATAGCTATATAGGGGAGGGGGATAGATGCACCAGTGTGTGCTATACTGAATAATATCAAGAATATTTGCCAAGTTAAAATAATGCCCAGCTAGGTGGAGGAGGGAGAACGAGCGAATACATAAGGGAAGGTGTTAACTATTAAGGGAAAGGAAGCATTTGCCCTTGTTCACAGAAGAAGACAGATGTGCTGTAGAGAACTTGGAGACTTAATGAGCTAGTTCACATACAACGAACAGCCCATGGTTGATTATTGTTTGGGAATGTGCAGGGCAAGCAAGCAAGCGTACTGGATGGCACCTCCTTGGCCACTTCGGCTGTGCTAAACAAGACAGGGATGTCCTGAGTTGTTTTCAGAGAAGACCACACTCTGGGTTTTGAGGTAAAAACAATGCAGGGTTTTAATCCAGGAACAAACCATTTGTCCCTTAACAACCAGAATTCTGTCTTCCCACATCACAGGTAACAACCCAGGGATGGGAATTTTAGAGAATCTAAATGATGATGGCTTCCAGTAATAACCCCGCTGTGTTTTCGCACAACTTCTCTCCTTTTTCTTACAGCAGAAGATCCACTCAGACAGAACAGCTACAAAATGCCTTCTCCTTGGTAGCACTAGGAGCCCTCCAGCTGGAAGCACCCTTAGCTCATGTGCCAGGCAGAGGTTTCTTGCACAGGGAATGAAGTCGGCAATGAGAACTGCCAGGCAGCACAGGGCCACAGCCGGGGAACATGGCTGAGCTTAGCAAGCTGGCAGGAGCACTGAAAAATGTGGGGAAAGGCCTCACAATTAAGAATGAATTCAAAAATCAGTGTGGGCAAAGGCTAAAGGTCAACATAAGCATGAGCAGAGTTAGTGCAGTTAGGATTTAAGGGATGAGCTTTCCAGCAGAATGGAAATTCATGGGCTGCGGGCAGACATCATCTAAGGAGCCTTGTAGAAAAGTTATGAATAAGGAGAGGAATTGGTGAACCATGGATAGTCTAAGGCAAGATTTTGGTTAGATGAGTACATAGGAAGACCTGGACGTACTTATGGCTCAAGGCTGTCGGGATAGGAAGAAGTGCAAGAGATGCTTGTAAGGGAAATGCCCAAGGGAAATGAGTTCACAGTTTGACCCTGCTAAAGATCTACATCAGGGTAAAGAACCTCTTTTGGTCCAAAGGCTGAATTTCATTTTGGAGAAGCTCCTGGGGGCTGCAGTACAGGGGTAAGTGGGGCTGAAGGTGTGGTCAAAAACAAATGGGCAGTGCCAACATACCAAAAATACCATCATACTAAAGCTCTTACTGCCAGTGATATGCTTAGTTGGTTGAGAGAGGCATTTTGACCTTTTACAATGTGGGGAAAGTGCAAAAGCTGGAATTTGTCCAGGAGAAAGAAGACAGGGCCAAGGAAAAGGGAAAGGGTTGGAGTTATCCAGGGAACCCTGAAGGGCTGGATTTGGCCCATGGGTCTTAAGGTTCCCCACCCCTGTTCTAGGTTACATGGGCAGCTGCAGAGCTGTGGAGTGAGTTCAGCCAGAAAAGCAGTGTTAGAAACGAAGAAGTAGGAAGGTAGTAGAAGGATGGAGCACGATGGTGCACTTCGTAATATGTTGTCCATCTGCCTGCAGATTCAAGGCTCAGAGCTGGGCTTAATTAGGTATCCGCTGAAGGTGATGTAAGTGTCATAGTCATCGCTGAAGATGGCATTTTCGCGCTCACCCTTGAAGAGCCGCACCCAGACCTCATCCTGGTCTTGCAGGTCGAGCATGAGGCTCTGGCTCTGCATGATGCTCCTGTCGCTGGCCTGGGCATACAGGATAGCCACTTCGGCCCCGTTGCGCATGATGTGCAGGTAGGTCTCCTTCTGGTTCCAGGTGTGCACATTGAGACTGAAGAAATAGATGCCAGGCACGTAGCAGTAGAACTTGCCCATGAACATGTTGAAGTGGCTGTAGAGATTCACATACTCCGTGTCAAAGACAAGTGTCTGGTAGTAGTCGTTGCTGTGCAGGGGTTTCCTCCGGCCCACCGAGAAGGCTGCATAGGTGGTCTTGTACCGCTCCCCCGGGGAGCCCGGGCTGCCCTTCTTCCCCTTGAGGCCCACCTGACCCTTGCCCCCTGCAGCACCGGTCTTGCCCAACTTGCCTTGAGGGCCACGCTCGCCACGGTCCCCTTTCTCACCTGGGGAGCAAAGAAGATACATCTCAGAACTACTGCACCCGTGCCAGCCTCAGCCTCAGAGTGAGCTCACACCGTTGGTGGGCCGTTCCCAAGCTCCATACATACCTGGATGCTGGGGGCTTTGCATAATTACCCTCCGCAGCATGGCTTGTTGTGTCGTGCGAACCCAGCCACTGTGGTTTGTTGCCATGGTATGCAGAATGGGAATTCAGAATTCCTGAAACAGCCTGGGGGTTCTTGGGGCCTAGTGCTTTTTGATTATTACCTTTTCCCCTGCAGATTGTGAAGAGATTTCGTATGTATACTTCCCTAACCACCCTACCCTGTCTAGTCATCTTGCCTGTTGTAAGTCATCTTGGTATGTTTAAGAAGGCCGGGATAGAAATAGTGTAAAAGTAAGTAAGTAAGTAAGTAAGTAAGTAAGTAAGTAAGTAAATAAATAAATAAATAAATAAATAAATAAAACAGTCCTGCCGAAATCCCTGGTTCCAAAATAAGCCTTCCTTCTGACAGCTGCCCAAAGTATGAGAACACAAAGGGGAGTGCGAGGGCTGTGGTAAACCAAGAAGGGCTCATGATGGCTGTGGGGCCAATGGCACTAAACAGTGGTAGTCACCCCAAAGGGCTTTTTGGGCACTTGTGGGACAGCCGTCACTGGTAGAGCTATGGGCAAGTTTGACAAGACTGGCAAGGAGGGTTTGCTGCTCTTGCTGAAGGGCTCACTCACCACTCCAATGGGGTCAGGCATCTCATTTCGGGGAACACCGCAGCCCATAGTGGGTACAACTGTCCTCGTTACCCATGAAAAAGCCACCCTATGGGAAATGGTCTAGATTTGCAAGACACAACAACTAACCACAGCTTATTATCCATGGCAGGCTGTGGTGTCTTGCCCAGCCAGTCAATGGGGTTGTCTAGAAAAATGGCCTTTTTAACTGGAAAAGGAAAAAGAAAGGAGCAGCTTAGACATTTTAATATATGAATAAATACAAAAATGTAAACATTTACTCTTGGAAGAGAAGCCTGAAAAGGAAATGATCCAGACTTCTTGGATAACTTCTTCTTGGATAACTATTTGATCAATGATGATGAGATGAGCTATAGCACAATTGGTAGTGCTTGTACTTCCATGGATTCCAGAACGGCCAGAATTATGTGTTAAAATGGGCAGTCACTAAAAAGATGCGCGTTTGCCACAAAAAGAGATCCCTTGGCAAATGGGCTTCTGTATTAAGTAGAACTGAAACTGAAATTGACAAATACAGGCAAATTCAAAGGCAGCATTGCAGGTTTCTGCTTGCATAAAATGTATGCCTTAAAAATCTGATCTGAATGAATCTAGTGTTAAAATATGTTAATTACGTTTATTGATTGGTGAACATGGAACAGGGGATCAGAACACTTAACCAAACAGAAGGAACCCAAATTGACCTTTCTGAAGTTTTTAAACTACACATCTTTTCATGCACCTACCTTTCCAGCTACAGCAAACCCTAAAACCTATTGCAAGAATTCAAAGTGTTCAACAATCTAGAGGGCTCATGTGATGACACAATTTTCCCATCCTTCCTGTCTTTCTGCCCAATCCAGGCCCTGTCCTAATACAACCTCTAGAGTACTGGGTTTGACTCAAGACTAATCTGGCAGTTTCCCTTGGCCTGGGTAAGGAAGGAGCTCGGACAAAAGTATCATAACAACTCCTTCAGGCCAGGAAATTTATTTAGCTCATACAATTTCTCCCAAACCAGCTCCTCTGGAATCTGAAGAACCCAAAGGTTCTTCCAAAGCCAGCCACCCCGCCCAATAACCAAGCCTGGGGACTGAAAGCAAACTCAGTGCTGCCTCTCAAATCCAGCCCCAGCTGCCAATTGCTGGCAGTTCTGCTGAGGCTGTGGGGCATTTCAGAGGACAGGCAAACCCCTGAACATGCACCATTCTTCCACCCTGGCCGGACACAGGGCTGCCAGGGCTCCACCCGTCGATCTGCTGTGACCCTTTCCATTCTCCGATGTGTCTAGTCCAGAGACAAGGCAGCTGCAACCGCTCTCACCCCTCCCTCCTCTCGCTCAGTTGTCCGCCCTCCTCTGCATCTGCTGTAATCAGCAGAATTTATGCAATGTAAGGCAGACTCCAGGTGCGGGCCTGGGGGAGGAATTGCCAGAAGTCCTGGCTATGCTGCCTCCTGATGCTGGGGCCGGGGCAGGGGGCGTTACAGAGTATAGGCCTGGCATCCACATATCAAAGTACTGGGCAGTCACCAGAGTTTCCTTTGTTTCTGGCATTCCTGTCAGCATCAGGCAGCTGGGTTCACTGCCGCAAGATGTGGGCATGGCTGCCAGTTGAGATGGTTTTAAAGGTGACAAAAATTAATGAAGGACAGGCCTGTCCATGGCTACCAGGCGTGATGGCTCTGTGCTGCCCCTATGATCAGAAGTTCTGAATACTGGTTGTGGGGAGCAAGGGGGTGTGTGATACCATGCCCTAGCCCCGCTTGTGGGCTTCCCTTTGGGGCAGCTGATTGGCAGCTGAGGGAAACAGGATACAGGAGCCAGTGCGATCGTGGTCTGATCCGGCAGAGCTCTTCTGATGTTCTTATGCTTGGGACATGCCATTTTAATTTCCCACAATGCCCTGCAGCAACACTGTGTTGGGGGTGCTGAAGAAAATTACAATGGTCCTCTGGGTGGAGTGCCGCTAACCCCAGAGGGCCCAAGCCAGGCATCAGCCCTGACGCGAGATCTCCGGACTGCGATCCGGCAGCGCCGCATCCCACCCGCTGGCTTCAGGCCTTGGATCAGCGAAGACCCGGGCGGGAACAGCGGTTTTCCCCACAAGCCGGAAGAAGGCCTGTCTCAGGAGCCTAGGAAGGCAAGTAGAGCACCTCCGGGGCCCTTGCTGCTTGCCATGCCGTAGTCGCCCTCCTGCCCTGCAGCCCAAGTTCTGAACCCACAGAGGCAGCGTCAGCCCCCCTTACCTTTCAGAATGGTCATGTTGATCTGCAGCGTGGGCTGGTATGTGGGGGGCACCGTGACCGGCTCAGGAGGATTGCAGCAGCGCACACACCCAGGCCCTCTCTGCTGCCTGCTGTATTTTTCATAGCTGTTCTCAGCCCTGGGGACAGAAACAGCACAGGCAGGCTGGGTCCTAGGGCCAGCCCACAACAGGGGGCACAGATCTCTGTAACCCGCTTCCCTTGGAAGGACCCCTCAAGTCCCTTTTCTGAGATCACAAATGTGCCTGTATTTAGTTGTTGTTGGTTACAGAGGCATCCCAGCTTTCCTTCAAACAGCTCAAGGTGGCTGTGCATGATCCATTACCTCTCCTTTTGATCCCCACAACAACCATGTGAGGTAGGTTAGGCTTAGAGTCAACCTGAGATGGGATGAAAAGGACCAGCCCAGCCTAGCCCAGCTCCAGTCCTATCATGGTTGCAGTTCTTTTGCCTTCTTCTAGCCCAACCAGCCAGGCAGGCCAGCCTTCAGCGCCAGCGTTGCTCCTTTCAAAGTAAAACTCCCCCTCTACACACACACCCCCTCCATTTCTTGAGAAGCAGCAATCTGAACAAATCAGATGCTGCCTTCCAGGGTCCCAACCACCAAGGAAACAGTTAAAGCAAAGCTGGGAAAGAATTGTCTGTATTGAGATTGCTATGAGGTGTGTGTGTGTCCGTGTCTCTGCACACACGTGTGCCTCTGTGCATGTATGCACATGTGCACAATCTCCAGCACCCCAAGTCAGTATCACACGCTGCCCTCAGGGCCAAAAATGATGTACACCTCTGATTGAGATGCATGTCTAATAGATTCAATATGCATCCACCCACCTCATTAAAATATCTGTTGTCTAAAGATTCAAGGCAGAAGGCAGAACCCAAGGACTTTAATGCAGCATACTAATGAAATCTTTAGAAAGCATCTCTCCAATCTTCCAAAAGGCAGTGGATTACCAGGGACAACCACCAGAAAAAAACAGTACAGCCTCTGTTAGGAACAGTTGGACATCCAGAGAGCAGTCAGATTGCAGGATGGCCAAGGGTGTATAGTCAGGCAGGCCTCAAAGGTGAGTGCCCTGCTTATCCCTGCACAGCCATCTGCGTATGGCTGGAACTGCTCACAGATCACACCTACGTAGCTCCATCAGCTGTGGAAGAGGTGAGGCCTTCTGTGAAGGCCTGTTTAGGGTGGAAAGTTATGGGCCAGCAAAAGCAAGGAAATGTACCCCTAAACAAGGCCACAAAAAAGGATAGTGACTTGCATAGCCCTTGTATATGTTCATCCATCCACCCATCCACACATATAGAAATAACTATTAGAATGTAAGTTAAATAGAAAACTACAGCATATCTCACCACGCCTCCAGAAACTGTCCAGGTGACCTATGTGCCTGCATATGCAGTTTGCTGCCCAGGTGCAAACTGTGACGGGCAATTGTTTTTTTTTATTGTTAAACTGGAATTGGACTGGGCAGCCTTTTAAACAAGGGTGCCTTTTAAAAAAGAATGATTCTATGGCAGTCTTTTGAATGAAGGACTGCTTCTGTAGAAGGGGACACCTGGCCACCCTAAGTCAGGTGGAAACTTGGAAGCAGAGCTCTGAACAAGGCAACTGGACTGAAAAGAAAATCTTAACCCTTAAGATAAATAAAAGTGGTTTGATCTCATGGACACAAAGCCACCCCCAAAAGTACAAGATGGGGGACGCTAACAACTGATTTCACTTTTCCCTCATCAGAAATGGGGTGATGCCAGTGAGCTCACTGAAGGATGCACCTGTTACTGAGGCAGGCAGACCCTCCAGCTATACCTATTAAATAGTTCTGGCACCTTTCTTACTCATGACTTGCAGCAGGCAGCTGCTACTACAAATATGTGCCAATTGTGGCAGGCAATATTTGGCCTGCAACAGAGACAACTGATACACTCGCCAGGAGATCGAGCAGAATTCTCACTTTCCACAAATTAGTTGACACATGCCTCTAGTTCCTGTAAGCATCACTGGCACCTTCGCAGCACAGTTTTCCTTGTTCCTTTCCCCCTTGTGCTCTAGCACAGGGACCCATCATTCCAAAGGGAGCTTCTCTCTGAAACCCTAAACTAGCAGAAGATTTGCAGCCTTGGCAGGGAAATGGGGACGTTTCAGTATGCAAAACACTGCAGAGGTTATGAATGTACCCAGTGTTTCAGACCTGGTGGCATGCAGTGTGATATGAAACAGACACATTACAATCACGAGCTGCTTCCCTGCTCAGCCTCTAAGGCATCTTTATTTGTTTAATAACAGGTGAGAAAGATCTCTGGTGAACAAGAGCGGTTCACGGGAGAGATCTAAGAGGGACAGGACTATGACGGCTCACTCAGTCCGACGTGTGCATTTCAGTTCCTTTGAGCTGGAGGAAGGAGATGCGAAAACAAAACTCTGCAGGACAGTTCCCTTCCCTACGTCTTTAACAGAAAAACAAAACAAAACGAACCCTTTGCTCCTAACATTGCTGCACTCCCTCCCTGCTCCACAATAATCAGGCCAAACGAAGATTGCATGAAGCCTTGGAGCTGTAATACTTTGCAGTGGCAGGGAGAGACCTAGAAAAACAAGGCCCTTCGCAAGTTAAAAGATACACCCTGTAATGCTCACTCTGGTTAAAAGAACCTTAATTTGGTGCCCACGATGCAGCCATTAAGGCCCCTTTTGCAGCCATTTCCACCTCCTCAGGAGCCGTCCTCTCCCAGCAGCAGTCTCTAGCTCCCTTTAAAGTGGGGCAGAGTGATAGAGTTAATTGTGCATTAACTGCAGACCGAAGATGCACATTAATGACGTTAATTGGGCATTGAAGTAACCACGAAGTTATTTCATCCACTGTCAGCAATTTTAGCTGGAAGGATAGAGGCAATGCGCAGGGAGAGTGGGGCATCCCGTGGCTTGCTGGCTTCACCGGCGCGACCCACCTGGAGGTGTGGTGCTGGTCTGGTGGCTGCGTTGTTGGTCCAACCATCTCCTCCACATCCCTCTCTTTGCAATATGCCTGGAACAGCAGGCAAACAAGCAAAAGGGCCCTCGGTGCCAGGGATGCCTTCATGGCGTTGGACCCCTGTCCACAAAGAGAGAGTCAGGCAAGCAGAAGTTAGTGGGTGCTGGCTTGGTAGGCGGGCAAATATCCTGCTTGCTTAGCAGCCTGCTTTGGGGGCTCTTCGCCCTCTTGGCAAACCAGCATACAAATGGACCTCGCAGAGCCACAACTTCAGAACCGGCCCAAGTGGGTATCAGAGAGCCCTTCATCCTTTACACCGGCCTGCCCAAGCTGGTGCCCTTGACAAGTATTAGACTACATATCCCAGCATTCCCCGGATACTGACTAGTTGCTGTCCAACATATCTGGAAGGCTGCCTTTCTCAGCAGGGTAAGTTCCATGGAACCTCACTAGCATTTCCCACGATGGACAGAAGTATGAAGGGCTGGTGTCTATCTCTGAACACAAAGCAGAGAGCCGGTTTGGTGTAGGGGTTAAGGCGGCTGTGCTGGGACCCAGGAGATCCAGGCTCTAGGCCCCACTCAGCCATGGAACTCATGGCTGTTTGGGCCAGTCACAGGTTCTCAGCCCAACATATCTGAGAGCAGACATGGTCGTGGGAACTGTGGGACCATGCCCCAAAGTGGCCTTGGGGCTGGAGAAGTAAAATGCAGGGGGCCCTTCAGGGGCATGTTGGTGGAAGGGTGAGGGAGGGCCTTTTCAGTGGCAGCCCCAGGCTATAAAAGCCCATGAGGCTGACTCCCTCTCTGCTGTTCTTCTGAAGGTGGCACAGCCAGTTCCATTCAACCAGACCTTCAGTTTGTAAACTGAAGTTAGGCTAGGTGCTGTTTTCAGTCTCAAAATTTTGGTTTACTTTTAATATTGTTAATCTGTTTTATTATTGTCTAACCGTAGGCTTTTCAAAAAGGGGTAATGATTGTTCGTCACCTTGCACACCCATTTTCTTGCTGGACAGGTATAAAGGTCACTTCACTCTTCCCCTAGCCTCCAATCCCCTCCTGAACCTGCCCAGTTGCTTTTCCCCAAGGCAGCAAGTCCCAGGTATGTATTTGCCATGTGGAGAAAGAGGGATGTGGAGGCCTCGCAAGCAGAAAATTGCAGTTGCCAAATGGATTGTATGCCCGGCTGTTCATCCCTACAAATCACCCCTCCGGCACCACTTGGAAGGAAAGCAACGGCCGTGGTGGTGACAGAGCCCATGTTTCCTGCAAAAAGCGTCTTCAGCTCTTTAGGCTAAACAAACTTAAAACAAGGAAGATGAATGCACAGCGGAGCCTCAGTGCCCCCTTTCTGCCATGCACTGGGGAAGAAGAGGGTGGCTGCAACAGCTCAGTGATGCTCCGACTGACTCCATCTTAGGGGCCTTTGGGCTGCCTGTTGCAGCAGGCCGATGGCTCCATCCTCAGGCCCATGTGTGCAGGGCTGTGCATGAAGGCAAGGCGAGCCAGTGGTTCCAGGGCAGAGAGCATGTGAGTGGAGAAATGCATGTGCACCATTTGGAAGACTGCCTGCCCTCGTTCTATTATAAGCCAGAGCAATGTAGTGCCAAGCAAAACTGGGCAAATCTCCTGATATCTGTGGTCAAAGAACCTCTGGGAATGTTCTCAAGAAATCAACCACACAGCTGGGTCAAAATCCAGAACCAGAAGCAACAGCCTGTCTGGTATAGCAGAAATGAGAGGGTTTGTGGAGCAAAGGACACCCTGCAACCCACATGCAAGGAAGACTCATTCTTATGCAGGCCATATCTGCGTATCAAAGGACACATACATTCCACAAGGGCTACAGTTATAGCCTACATGCATTTCCATGCTGAGCAAGGAATATACATGTGCTCCGCTTTATCCATGAGTACATCTACATCAGAGATCGATGCTATTTTGAAACTTACTTGTCCTCAAAGGATTTCTGGTAATTCTAGTTTTTTGAGAATGATGGAACATGCAGTTGTAATATTTAATTGTGATGGAATATTCCATTGTGCGATTCCACAACTGCAGTTCCCACGCTCCTTACCAAGAAGCCCTTCAATGCAGCTTAAGGCCTCTGAGCACAGAGCAGAAGCAGGAAAACTTGTTGGACAGTGACCACGTTTGGCAATCTGAAAAACTGGGCAAGAAACAACCCATAATTGGAAGTGTAGCAAAAGACAAATAACCTGAAAGACCAAGTACAAGGTAGAGGTGGGAGCCAAAACTGCCTGCTCCTGACCTGTGTTAGACTACAACTCCCATCAGTCCCAACATCAGTCTGATGGTGGCTTGCTGGGCGTGATTGTAATTGTAGTCTAACTTCTGGACAGCGCCAGATGAGGGAATGCAAGTGTAGACTCTTGTGCAATGCATTCACCACAGGCACAGCCACCCAGTGCGCAGTGCTTGTACACTTGCACGTACTCCGTGAGTATTATGCACACCCCCTCCCCCTACATGCACTTGCATTGTTTGTTCCATACAGAGTTTACACACTCCAAAGCATATAGGGAGAATTATAGGCAGCTTTCCTCATGTGTGTCTAATCTTACACACTGGCCCAAACGCAGTGCGTAGAAACATACAGGCAGAATCTGCACAGGGGCGTGTAATGCCCAATAAATAACGGGGAGCAAAACCTAGGAAACCTGGTGTTCAGCAAGAGAGACAGAGGAGGACATCCAGTTTGAAGGCACGTTTTTATAGCCATGACACTTCTTTGTGGATGCTATGTCCTGACAGAAATTTCCCCCGCACAGAGACGTACACAGGTGTGTGCACACACAGAGAGACATACAAGGAAACATGTTATTTAAGGAAAGTCCACATTTGCTAACACATTATATTTAGTACCTTTATATCATCTCTTTCTTCAAGGAACTCAAAAGGGGCCCAGGTAGTCTCCCATCCAGGCTGAGCCTGTATCTGAGCCTGTATCAGGCCCCCTCAGGCCACACCTCCACAGTCAGCAATATATTCTCACACACAACATACAAAATGCCTTCAATACACAAGTCAGGCTACACCTGTGTGCAGAGAGGATCCCGTACCAAGACTTGGTGGCTGCTCTGCAGTGCTGGGGTCCCCTTCGTGTGGCGGCTGACCGGAGCCAGAGCGTAAGCCTGGCTGGAAGTGTTGTGTCACCTCAGGTGGGCAGGCTTGATGTGAGTGCAGTGACGATGGCACGGAGTAGTGCCAAGCTGACTTTATTTCACAGTGAGCCGGGACTTAATCTAGTTTCAATGGTTGCATTTAAAGCAACTTATACCTGCTATTGCTATTGCAATCAGAGCCTGAACACTCTACAAGGACCTATACAAGAACTGGAATAACAGCAAGACCAATTTAATGTTCAGCTGAACAATCTGAACAAGGCAAGCGAGCCAGACATGTGCACACAGAGAGGCTGCTGTCTTATCCGTTGAAGGACAAGCGGAGAGAGGGAGAGAAGACAGACTGACTTACATAATTGGACTAACATGGACATGTACAGAAACAAGAGCAGAGATGCATGCTCCGAGCCGGCATTTGTTTTTTCCGGTTCACTCTGGCCACTCTCCATCTCTCAAGGGCCTGCTCCAGCAGCCGGTATCGCCTGGGAATGCAAGGCAGTCACAGCCTGGAAAAATGTCCCTCGGTGTTCAGAGAGTCAAATACCCAGGAGTCCGTTCCACTCAGGCAAACACTGAGGACATTTGGGGTGACGTGTATGAGAGTCCCAGGAGCCCTGTGCTCCCTGCAGAGCTACCAGCCTGTAACTCTCAAGAAAGTGAGCAGGAAGCACAAAGGAGAGGGCCGGGACTGGCCCATCGGACGGGCCACATCTGTTCGGTTCGAGAGTGGCTACCGGCAAGTCTGTCGGAGCTGGTGAGAGGCACTTCTCCCCTCCCCCATGCCGGGACCAAGGTGCATTGTGTAAACTGACCCCAGCTGATCCCTCCTCAGGGAAGAGAGTTCATGTACGAACAGGGGATGTGACTTGCTGGGCTGGAAAGCGGTGTCCTGTCCTGCCAGAGTTCGGTGGAAAAACTTTCCAGCATGACGTTACTTACAGGCTAATGCCAAGCAAAGCTGTGCAGCGGAGTGGTAGCAGGCAAACGCAGCCTTACTGTCAGAGCGCACAGGGCAGATCCGAGCACACGTTTGTCCCTGCCCCAAGTACCTCAAGCACCATCTGCCTGAGCACTGCAGCGCATGCTGGAGGAAGGGCCCTTGTGCAAGCTCCCGGGACTGCTACACCCCAGCGTGCCCCACCAGCCAAGCGCACAGGTGGATGCAGGTAGGCGGCACGCACAGGTCTGCCACACAGTCCTAGGCACCGGGCCCTGGTGGCCTGCCCAGCCGGCTGGCACCTACCTTTGGGGCAGGACTCCAGGCTGCCACAGCCTCTGCTTGCCCACCTTGCCTCTTTGGCGCTTCACAGCATCCCCTCAGGGAAGGCGCTTCCAGCCCCTCCTGTTCCTGGGCTGGAGAGGAGGAGGAAAGCCGCTGGGTCCTGCTGCTTCTAGCCTTCAGATGTCAGGCTCCCAGCAGAAAGGCGCTTTCTGGAGAACCGAGGAAGAGGGAAAGAAAGGGGCAGACTCGGCACTCCAGCCCTCCTCCTTCAGATGGGAGCACAGCTGCCGTTAACCGTATGTATGCCCAGCACCCACAGCTGGGACTGGGAAGCCAGGTTTCCTCTGCCAAAAGTATCTCCAGATGTTGGGCTCTAAAGCCAAGAAGGGAGGGAGGGAGGGAGGGAGGGAGGGAGGGAGGGGAGAGAAATGTACAGCCATTGCCCACAGCCATGGAGAGCAGACTGGCAGGAGGCAGGCTGTTCTGCAGCCCCGCTCAGCCTAGCCCCGGATCTCGCAGGCACCTCATCGTTGCCTCCTTTGGGGTTGTCTCTGCCTTTGTATTGCTGTGCGCACCCCACTTCCCCAAGTGCCAAGGAGTTCCAGAACTGCTGCTTGAGGCTGGCTTCCTTCAGAGAAAGAAGAGAGCACTGGTGACTTCTGGCATTCTTTTTTAAGAATTTTTTTGTGGGGGGCAGTGAATATTTTATTTACAAACATACAGGTGCAGCATGAGCAAAAT